TTAGAATATGGGTGTATGCTTTTTTTGGTGAATTTAACCTCTAGAAACGCATAAAAACGCTTGTTTTCACTGAAAAACACAGGCCTGCATTCCGACGCACTCTCTATATATACACATAATCATATATATATAGAGAGAGAGAGAGAGTGAGAGAGTATTGTTCTTTTGAAATCCGATGATTATTGCTGTTATTGGATGTTTAGTCAGTCCCCTCCCCATCATATTGAACCCCCGCACTAGACATTCCCCCCCTTTCATTTTATTTAGTCCAGGCGGTAGTTGAAGCGAATAACCCAAAAACCAACAGTGGCAAACAAGCAGTCGTGAGTCACCTCATATACTGATACGATCTTGGCGATGAATATTAACGCGGGGTGGGGCCTGGTATTTTCGAGGAGAGGGGACCTACTTTACTTGCTCATGCTTAGTTGAGACGGAATGTGCTGTAGGGACACCAAAGCAGGGTGTAGTCAGTGCTATGTGGACATTTCTGTAAGGATCCATGTCCTTATGCCGGAGTATTTTCATAGTCAGGATCCGGATCCTTTGTTTAAAGCTGTTCAGGTTGTAATGGGACTTATGTTGTTTTGATTGTAAGTGTTGCTCGTGTAGGAGGAACCTGTTTGGCGGATTTAGCATGTCTACGGTTTAGGGTTTAGAGTCTATGGTGTCAGGAAAATTCTTTCCTCAGAAAGGACTCCGCTGAATCCCATGGGAAATCCCTAAACCTTAAACCCTAAATCAAACCTTAGACCCTACACCCTCTGGGAAATCCCCATGCATCTCTAGCTGCCCCCATTTTTGTGGAAACCACCAACATCTGGAACGCCGTGCTAAGACCTAGGGTATAGGAATTAGGTCCATCAAGTCCAGATTCCAAAGCAGTCCATCCTCCAAAAACCTTCCACCCTAATTTAAATTCCATTTCGTTCATCTGGGCCCCAAGATTAGGTGATTTTGGGTACGTCTCCTTTTGATATGACATTTGTGAGGGGAATCCCTGTGATCCTTTTTCTAATCCGCATATAGCCAGGGGCCCCAAATTTGAGCAACAACCATATGAGGGTTTAGGGGCTTTACCCTTTACGGGAAGTAGGTCTGAAAAAGCAAATAGTTATTACGCCCACGTACTCCCTTTAAAACCCTATAAAGCCAAGGCAACAATCCCGAAAACCTCAACCCCAAACCTTAAGGCTCCCCCAAGCCTACCCTAGAAACCTTAAGGTGCTAGTAGCCTAGGGTTTAGGGTCTAAACCCTGAACCCTAAACCCTAAGCCCTGAGGCGGACCCCAGCAATCGGGACTATGCCCGAGAGCTTCAGAGCTGTTTGGATCGGGCACCCCTTGACGGGGACCTTTGGGCGCGGGGTGACAGGCGGCCTGTGTAAGGCTACATTGGGGTTATATTAAGGATTAAGGTGGTTGCTTGGAGTTTGGGCTTCAAGGCTTCCATAAACTAGGAGATCCTCACAAACAGTTTTATTTTAGAGATACCCAGATATTCTGGATAATTGGTGTTGGTTGTTAGGAGGTTAACCCGCTCCAGAAATGTAGTTCCATGCGGGGTCCCAGCCGTACTCTTAACTGGGTGCCCGGGTAACCCGCATAAGCCCTTATGTTTTGGGTGGACCACTATTATAGACTGTCATTGGCTGGGGGCAGGACCCAAACCTAAACCCTAAATCCTAAAACCTAAACCCGAAATCCTAACCCTAAACCCTAAATCCTGAGCCCTAAACCCTAAAACCTTGGGGTTTGACCTGCTGAGCTCAATCATTGCAACTTATGGCCGGAGTGTTTTTCCACAGGGTGCGTACTAAGCTTGAGTGCCGCCTGTTCAAATTGAACTTTGTTCTGCAGAGAGCAAAAGAGGCGCTTTAAAAAAAAAATAATAAATCCTAAGCCCTAAATCTTAAGCCCTAAAACCCTAAACTCTAAATCCTAAACCCTAAATCCTAACCCCTAAATCCTAAACCCTAAATCCTAATCCCTAAATCCTAAGCCCTAAACCCCAGGACCCAAGCTACCCATGTTGCTGGAAGGTCCTCGGAGCTGATCCTGAATGGGCCAAACCGGAGCCTCCAGCGACTTTGCTGTAGTGGGGGTTTTAGGTTTAGGGTTTTAGGGTTTAGGGTTTAGGGCTTAGGGGTGTAGAGTTTAGGGTTTAGGGGATCAGGTTTAGGGTTTAGGGGGTAATAGGGTTTAGGGTTTAGGGGGTAATAGGGTTTAGGAGGTATGGGGTTTATGGGGTTTAGGGTTAAGGGGTGGTTTATGGTTGGCTTGGTTTACGGTTGGCTGTAATCGGGTAGTGTGCATGCGGGTATATCTGGATATCAGGATCTGAGTTAGGGCTTTCCACCATACTCCCACCCCTAAACCCTAACCCTTCAACCTAAAAACCCTAGCCCCTAAACCTTGAACCCTAAA